ACCGGACTTGAAGCACTCAGGTCATTAACCGCATGAATGGTTACTGCTTTACACCGGCCTTTTGCGGTCACTGGCATAAATCACCATAAATTTTGCATAAGGTTAATGTATAATTTCCATTTAACGGTCGTTTTTATGCGTTTTTGCTGCACAGCGTTATAGTGTTGCTACAGCCAGCAAAAACGCATATTGTCGAGAGGCTGTCTGTTCGGAAACGAGTGCATTTTGTCACCCACTCTCATCTCAGTAATCAGGAAAGCTGGAAGGCTGAAACTTCGGGTATTTGTTCCCACTCCGTGTATCATCCTCCCGTTTGAAGATCTTTCCCCTACGCGCCTAGACCCCGCACACAGGCCCCCAAAAAAATATGTTGGTGAGGAACGATTTCACGAACCAAGCAAGGTAGAAAGCTGAAACTTTGCAAGTATATCCTCTATGCACGTGTGAGCTAAAGATTTTAAACTCAGCTGTCATGCACCACAACCACAGCCTCAAGCAGCTCCTCAACCCAAAAATGGTTAGCAACCCGGGCTCGAATCGCAATCATATATGTAAATGAACATTAGTTAATTTGCATAGATGGTTTTTTTGATAAAAGACCGCTCGAGCAATACTTTCACTTTTTAGTGAACTGGAAATTTGCATTTTTTCAAAAAATTTGCATTTTTTCAAAAAATTTGCATTTGTCATTTTTCCACAAAGCGAGCATTTACCGAAAAACCGGCCGGACTACATGCAAAAAATCGGTAAAAAACAGCTGCTAAAACAGGTAAAATCAGTCTTCTATAGTAAAACAGCTACTACCTGAGCCCCTAAAGGCAAAAGATCCTTCGCCCCCTCCCCCCCTCCCCCCGGGAACGCAAAGGTTATGAAACGCAAATGTTGTAGTAGAGGGGATAACCTTGCTTGCAGATAGGGAGGGGATTTTAGGGTGGGATGCAGTCGTATGGGTTTCTCTGTGTTCAGTAAAGAACTTGACGCTGAGAGAGTTAGCGTTCTTAAATGTAATACCTAGGACGTCCCCGAGACTGAAAAGCAGGTACCACGAATCTCGCAGCTCACATCCAGGCCAATAAAATACTGCACCGACGAGCTAAGTTTCAGCAAATGCCAAATTCGCGGTATTCAGAAAGCTTGCAATAAACACGCAACTCCGAAGAAGCAAGCCTTTCGGGTATCTGGAGGTATCCTAAAAGTGTCAGGTACCAGAGGAACAATACGAACAAGAGATGAGGAGGCACGTGGAGTGAAGCGACCCGCCTTAATATGACGAGTCTCTACTTATGGCAGTGAAAAGTTAGTCCGGAACACACGGGCCCCTTTCCCCTCTCCCCCTCCCTCCCCAACATATTCACAATCAAACCCCCACCGAATCCTGCAACTTGTCTTCATCCCGCACCGACCACATCAAACCGAATTCGACCACACGACCCTAAAGCATGCGCAATGCTTCGCTACACTCTGGCTGGCCGTCATTCCGCGCAGGGACTCCACTCCACCTACTGAATCTCAATTTTTGCGGTTGCGTCTAAGCCGCTTTTATGCGTTTTTGCCAAGCAGCGCTAAAGCAACAGGCAGCAAAAACGCAT